GTTATTGACTGGAAGTGGGTCTAAAAGATAAAGGAAGGTGACCAAAAAAATGGAAATGTTAGATTCAAGGTGAGATTAGTTGCAAAAGGCTTTAATCAAAGAGAAGGAATTGACTACAATGAGATTTTCTCTCCTATAGTCAAATATACTTCTATAAGAATCTTACTTGCTCTTGATTCACATTTTAATTTTGAATTAAAACAATTAGATGTGAAAACTGCTTTTTCTCTATAGAGATTTAGATGAAAAGATTTATATGACCCAACCTAGAGATTTTGAATAGGAAGGCAAAGAAAACTGTGTTTGCCTTTTACAGAAATCTCTCTATGGTTTGAAACAAGCCCCCAGATAATGGTACATCAGGTTTGATACTTTCATTAAAAGTCTTGATTTTAATAGAAGTGAATATGATCCTTGCTTTTACAATAAAGGAAATGGAGGACCTAAATCTTATTATCTCCTGTTATATGTTGATGATATGTTACTTGCTAGATATGATTCAACTGAGATAAACAATATTAAATAAAAGTTAAAACAAGAATTTGAAATGAAATATTTAGGTTCTGCCAAGAGGATCTTAGGAATGGAAATTAGGAGAAATAGAGATAATCACAATCTATTCCTTACTCAACAATCCTATATTTCAAAAATATTATGTAAATATTCTATGAGTGAAGCCAAAGAAGTCACTTTTCCTTTAGGCAGCCATTTTAAATTTTTTGCAAAGCAGTGTCTAAAACTAAAATAGAAAGAAATAGAATGAAAAAGGTGCCTTATGCAAATGCTGTTAGATCAATTATGTATATCATGGTTTGTACCAAACCTGATCTTGCCTTTGCTATTAGTGTCTTAAGTAGATATATGAGTAATCCAGGTAAATATCATTGGGAAGCAATGAAATGATTGTTAAGGTATTTAAAAGGAACATCACACTTAGGATTAATGTTTAGTAAAGGTAAAACAGAGATAAAACTCAAAAGTTATGTTGCTTCAGATTTTGCTGGTAATTGTAACAATAGAAAATCAACATCTGCATATGTCTTTGCTCTAAATGATACCTGCATAAGTTGGAACTCACAGCTGCAAAAATTGGTTGCCTTGTCATCAACAGAAGCTGAATATATTGCAGCTACAGATGTTGTAAAGGAAGGAATCTAGGTGAGAAATCTGTTAAATGAAATTGGTTTTTCTGATAATAATGCTACTATATTTTCTGACAGTCAATCAGCTACACATCTTAGTAGAAATCCAATTTTTCATGATAGAACTAAACATATAGACGTGAAATTTCATTTCATAAGGGATATCATAGAAAAAGAAATTATAAGTGTAATCCAGCTGATATGGGAACAAAAATACTTTCTTTACATAAATTTAGGGATTGCTTAAATCTCCTAAATATTGTTACTAATTAAAGTTTATTTATTTATTATTATTATTTTTTTTTTTATTTTTTTTTGCAGGAAATAAGAGTAAATGAAACCTAAAGAAAAAGTTATTCTCTAATCGTCATGAAACCCAAAATGTCAAGCAAGGTGGAGAATGTTGAATATTATGCTCGACATTTAAGTGTTTTTTGGAGCCCAATTATGCAGCCCAAATAGATGGGCCCTTTTAACTGAATGTGACCCGGTTTGTCCCCACTTGTGCAAACTCGTGTTTTCTCCAATTGCGACTTTAGTTTGTTTTAACTGGATGGATCAGACGATGTCAAGTGGAGTCGGCTGAACCGTTAGATGCAAGTGGTTTTTCATTTTACTTAGCCCTAAACTTTTCACTTACCACGATTTCGAGAGACTTCTAGGGTTTTCGTGTGTCTTGTTCTCTGTTCGTCCCTTCTCTGAAAACTCTTGGTTTTCATCTGTAATCTCTTGGTTTCTAGATGTTCTTGGTGAGATCTAGTATAGATTATAGTATTCTTGTAATGATTCTTCTCACTGATTGAGTGTTTGGTACTGGTTACTTTGGTATAATTTGCGTGAGTGAGAATTCGTGTTTTTCAGAGTCTGAAGGCTAGATTTTTTCAGATTTATTGTGTTATAATCCTTAAACACTTGATATTTTTGTTAGTTCTAGTGGATTGGAGCGATAACCACTTAAAGTGAATACTTAATGCGGTGATTAGCCCTTTGTGGGTGAACATCCGGGCCTAAGGGCGAAAAATCTTCGATGTTCTTTCATTTTCTTTTATTATTTTGTTTACTTCTAGGACTGAAAATACCTACAGTGAGTTTAGCATCATCTCTTCAACAAGACTGTTACTGTACACACGTACATGTATGTATGCATGGATCATATTTCGTCAATTGTATATGTAAATTATAAAGGTAGTCATTGAAACAAGAGTTGTGCTTGGTGTACAGCCTCCTCATAATAGGGAGCCCACGATTGTTTTATTCATGGTGAGCCCTTCCTCATATGAGAGGGCTATAAACCATACAGAATGGTGTACAACCACCAATTTCCTTGAAACAAACCTTGATTGGATGCCCATGCAAGGGAACAACCTAAAAATTAATAATACCCCAAAATCTTATTATAATGTTTCGTTATGATTAGAGTGATGTCAAAGAATATGATTATTATTGTTGAAGTGTCCAAAAAATGGGACAAACAGGAAACCAAGATTGATTTTGTGGTTGAAAGCAACCATACAACTAATTAATGAATTGACGCCAAATCAAAGTTACCATAAAACAAATTAATAGTCTGTGCGGTAATATGAATCACACTTTGTATGAATAAAAAATAATTTGAGTATTTGTAAACATGAGCCAAAGACAGACAAATATGTTGCGGTGAATGGCATTATGATTGGAATAGGAATAGAATGTTGTCTTTAATGTTGTTAATTAGTGTCCTTTTTAAGCTGCTGTCTGTTAGCAAAGCATATAAACAACAAGCTTGCAAACCATAACTAAAGCAATGCATATCTATCTATAATATATTAAATATCACATCAAGTGAAAATCATTTTTTGGACGATTATAGCTTTATTACAATTCCACCCATTTCAATAATACCTTAATTTCCCTTTTTTGATATGTATTTAATTTATAAAATATAATTGATACTATAAAATCATTTTTCATGCCTGTATTCCATGTCACTAATTCTCAATTAATTAATATTTATATTCATTTAATTAATATTAATTAGAATTCTACATTTACATTCACGTTAATGTCCCTGTCATTAATTCTCAATTAATTATCATTTACATTCATTCAATTAATTAGAATTCACATTCGAGAATGTTCATTGTTTGCATCCATATATGCTAATTAGCATCCAATTTCACTTAATTAAAAGTTAAATTATATTCATTTAGTATCAATAATTTAACATTCAAAGCAGCAACTGCTATTTCTTATTGATTATGTAGCGCAGGACAAGAACATGAATAATAATAAAAGGTTTTTGTTCGTAACACACGAACAAGTGTTGCTTGAATTTCATTCAAACGGACATGAGAAATATTAGGATCACATCTTATAGAAAAACTGAAATATTATTATTCAAAAATGGCTGTACAATTTTTCAAACCCTTGACAAATATTTAAAGAGTTACAATCAAAATCCCAATTCAGTAGACAAATACGAATATACATCAAATTTGAATAGAATTAAAATATTGTAAAAGTAAAATAAAATAAAAAAATCCTTAAACTAACTCAAAACATAAAAATGCTAAAACGGATCCCTAAATGACAAAATTTGACCCTAAAAGTTTAATGATCATTGGTCACCTGACAAAAAAAGTGCAGAATCAGATAACACTTTCAAATTATACTCACTCGCGACAATTTAACCCTTATGCACATTTTCGTAAATCATTCTTATTTCTTCTCTTTTTCAATTGGTTTGAGCTTTTCTCTTCTAATCGAGCATCATTTTGGATTAAAAGTAACATTAATGGTGACAAGAATCTAAACCGAAAAATCTAGTTATCCACTCTACACTGCAATTTTGAGATGAAAAAAAGTATTATACTGAACATTACATACGTCTTATACTCCATAAACTACACGGGATGCATAAAACAAATTAGGGTGTGTTTGATTGTCAATACTTTACATGGAAAATATGTTTTTTCACCAAAATTCTTACTTTTGTATTATTTGATTGATATTCTTTCCGTGAAAAATATTTTCTTTAGGGGGGAACATGATTTTATTTTTCAGAGAATTTACTCTCACTCATCTATCCACTCTCTCACATTTACCCGTCAATAAAAAATGAACTACTATAAGGCCCTGTATGATTGGTTCGAATTCCATGAAAAATGGAATTCGAATTTCACATTTTTTCAATTTTGTGTATTTGATATGGTTTATTTTCCATGGAATTGTATTTTCTTGCTTGTATTGAGAATTGGTATTTTCTTGGTTTTCAAGGAAAATCAAAGTCAAACGAATACCAAAAGATAGATGATTTTCTTGAAATTTTTTTTTTTGGGCAATAAAAATAAATTTCATTCCCAATACCAGTAAATTCTATCATTTTAATTGACAATTTTCATGTAAAATATAGTCAAACGAACACCAAAAAATATTTTTTATTTCAGCATTTTCCACGTGAAAAATTATACCAATCAAACACAATAATTTACAATTCCCAGAAAAACAATTTCTAAACAATTCAATTCCCTAGATTTTTTTTTCAATTCAATTCAATTCCATCTTTACAATCAAACGGACCCTAAGTTGAAAATTAAATCAATCATACACATTTAATTGACAATTTCTATGCAAATAAGTTTTCGACAATTGAATTGCCCCAAAATTTATTTTCTTTCCATAAAAATTTCATGCTTGCAATCAAACGTATCCCCAGTGTTTACAAAACCCAAAAAGAGGGAACAACAGATACGACGAAATAGGACTACCATCAGGACCAACATGAAAATAAATCGGAAGCTTTTGCAGCAACTACTGGCTCCCAATTAACATTTCTAACAATTATAATTCACAAACAGGGGAAGAAAATAAGAGAACAAAGAAACCACGAGAAAATATCCTCTTCAACCAAAAGTTTTCGGCCAAGGAGACTAAATTATTGTGCATATTAACAATAATGATAACACAAAACCACATTATGCTACACATAATCAACCTTAATATATCATAATCCTACCGCTAAATAACTCTAAACATTGGGTTGCAAATCTAAATTCTGTAAAGTTAGAACTCCAAAAGAAATTCTACAGCAACTCAACTAACATTCCTCAAGGGAGAACCATCACTTGAGAATTTAACTACTTCTATACATCTGAAATTCACGACCTCTAGCAATTTCGCAACTCCCTACAAACTTATGGCTTCATTTTTACATGGAACGCTAATATTTCAGAACCTATCTGACCTATAAACCACTGAAACTAACACTACAAGTTGGCACCAAGCAGCAGTATCCTTGCTTTTTTTCCCCCCCAGCAACTATTCTATGTGTCCCGTTATGGACACAAGCAGAAACTCAAATCTTCAGGAGGCACTTTCCAAGGAACTAGGATCTTTTTTGTCAGAATTCAGATTGAAGTTGGCCTGTGATTCCTCACCTGATTCAACCTCCTGCTGCTGGTTCTCACTCTTCTTTTTAAACCGGCCTCCTTTTCCCCGAACTCTTCTCACAGCATGCAAATGTCGAGACTCATGCAAATAGGGCTGCAAAATAAGTTGGATGGTTAGTAATAATGCTTGGATACTTGAAAACATATGCCCTATAAGTGGGAAAGATCATAATAGGGTCAGACTATTCAATGCATAAATGCCTTTGCCTATTTATAATTTTTCAGCCTCCTGCATCCCCTTTTTATGGTAACACTAAAACCTAAAACAACCCAACTGACCAGACCTTAGCCATTCCAGAAACAGAGCAGCACTGCAATGACAAACAAAAATTTAATGATGTCAAGAAACGATGATTAAAAATCTCAGCATTATCTAATTTTCAGATACTCTGCCTGTTCACACGTGTCGCTTTGGGGTATAATTACCAAAAAAAAAAAATAAGAGTTGAGGTGGAAAGATTGAATAGTCAGGAAATAAAATATGAAATGGTCCCATTGATTGCATATGAAGAAAAATGGGAGGTTATGCTCTCTCTCCACTAAAGATTTTGAAACACCACATAATTAGAAGGAAAAAAGATAGAAGTTTACCATTTGAACATTTCTCTCATGATCTTCTGAATTATATGAATAAAGCGTACTCTATGACAAGGAAGGGTTACAGTAGTAAATTGATAGAGGTACTTCTCAGAATAAAAACTTGATTCTCCTTTCTACCGAAAAAATTAATCATTGCTGTTCTCCCTTCTCATAAATTGATTTATTCCTCTCAAACTCCACCTACGGAAACAAAGGAATCTGGAATATGGTGTTCCTTCTAAAGATGAAAGGACCATTCCTTCAATTTTCTTTCCATTTACTTAAATTCCTCACACAAAACAAGCTTGGAGGAATTTCCACTGCATGAAGATTCATGTAGTGTGCGTCTTCTTGTTTTAATAAAAGTTTAAAAGAGATCTATATCAACAAACCAGCAAATAAGAAGTCACAAGTCACCATGCTGGAGTAAGCTTGTGCATCAAAGCATAATTTGGATTGAATCCAATGGATGAAGTAATCGAGAAATGCAACAACAGGCCAGGGCATGATCCCCTAAAATACCTTACGGGACTTGACAACTTTATGCTTAGACTCAGCCTTTGCACGAGATTGTCGACGTCGCAAGATGCCATGATATTGCTTTGCATTGACAAATACAGGCACCTCAACTGCATCCGATGGCAAAGGCAAACCAGCTTGCTGAATTCCCATTAACTGATGGTGGACCTAAATTGAGGAAGAGTCAAACTCAAAATATCAAATCTACAGGCAAGTTTAATCAAGATGAGCTTTAGCACAAGTACCATTGGTTGGGCTGGATAAGGCTGTGCATCATAAGGAGGAAAGATACTTCTATAGTAAGGATCTGAATATAGATAAGGTGTTTGTGCCTGCAATATTTAATTTATCAAGAGGGATGAAGAATAAGAACAAGTAATCATCCATGCTTACTGTTCTACTTAACATCAGAATTTAAGCATAAAATTAGCTAAATATGTCGTGGATAACAACACTTCTAATTCTCAGGACGATATACCGCAGCTGAAATTAATATAAAAACACTTTTGTTTCAAATAGTACCACGGCATTTTCAGCTCCAAGTTGTGTGGACGTTGCATAATTCATATTTGGCAATGCAATACCAGTATAAGACATCACATTAGACTGAACCTGAGGCTCTGCGTGCTTCTGTTGTTCATCGGCCTCACTATTATCTGGATCACACAAATTTACCACATAATCAAAACACATAGCATTTAAGCATTAAAACTAACTTCAGGAGGGAGATTTAAAAAGTTCAAGTTTCACGTGAAAAAAAGAAAAAAAGAAAAGAAGATAAGACCCATAAGTGCTTCAAATTACGTTTAAAAAGAAGAATGCATATTTTCTTTCAAAAGGTAAGGGTATCATATTTGTTTTTAGAGACGATGACAAAAAACAACGACCTAACCAAAAGCAGATGCAGTTTAGCCCCTTAATAGGTCAAGACACTAAACCTCAGTCCACTTCTTTGTTGTTTTATTATTTGAGTGCAACCATGAAAATGCAACAATCATATAAATAAGCCAAAGGCACCAAATTGTGCCAAAAAGGTCATTGCCAGACTGCCAGTATACACCATAACTTCATTGCTTAATCCTTTCAATAAACAATGCATTGCTTCAAGAGGAACGTGTATCCCAAGTTCATTTTTCCCATTAATCCTACTAGAGATTTAATACTTCCATTCCTAAATGGAACTAATGAAAATCTGGTGCATTCAAATATCACTGTCCTCCTCCCTAACACCAATTTTTGTCTCGCTTACCTTCCCAGTCTCAAGTTCAAAGATCCGAGTCTTCTGAAAAATATATTCAAAATTCCTTACTGCCTTATAAAATGGAAGTGCATCTATGTGAATCATACATTAGCATCAATGAACTTCTATACCAGAAGAGCAATGGCTACCAGTATCAATTGGCCATTGATCTTGATTGGCGAGCTTTACATATAGAGGTGTTAATTATTAAAGTTGATCTATTAGTCAGGGAATAAGGTACCCATTAACTGACCAAAGCTGAAGCCACAGAATGAGATAGAAAGAAGCTTGAGTTGCAGGAAATTTTTGAGATGGCCAAGCTTTACATGAATTGAAACAGTTTTTACGATTTTTCAATGAATAAAATACAATATCTTATGTTTCCAGTAATGATACAATGCTAAGTCACTGGTTCAGAAATAGTTTTCAGTTGATGGAGCATATTGGTGCGGTACATTCATTAGGATACCAGCACCAGGTGGATGAATCTATTTTGGCTGAGGTGGTAGTTTAACTAACAACTTTAATTCAGACTCACTTCCACTGGTGTTAGATTTTTAACTATACAAAAATGACGACGGAGTGAGATAAAGTTCTTACTGGTAAAATTCAATTGCTTGTTATTACAGTCCTTACTTCGCAGCAAACAAGGGGATTATACGATCCTTTGATGTATAACAAAGCATCAAGAAACTCATGGATACAGATCTCAAAGAAACAAACATCATAATGTGATCGTATCATCACATCATAGGGATAGACTACCTACAACTTCTCCTGCAGCAAAATGCCACATTACAATGATTAACGTCGCTTTTTTTTTTTTTTTTTTTTTTTTTTTTTTTTTTATGTAGCCTAAAATAAAATATTAATTACTCAATCAGTGATCTTTATCTGCCATTGAAATGTTATCATATTTCCATTCACTTCCCTGAAAATTTTCCATCGTCGTGTATCAATGAAAAAATGGTACACCTTGTTTAGTTCTCTGAATTCTACGCCTAGGGGTAACCGACTACATTCTAAGAAAATAAAAAATAAAAAGAAGAGAAAAATGGTCATGTGTCATGAGTATTAAAAAAAAAAAAAAAAAAATTTACCGGAGAGGCTATGAATAGATGATGTCATAATGGTGCTGAATGCGTTCAGACCTGACAATCCAGATAGAACAATGTATATTAATATGATCAACAAGCAAACATGCAGATTAAAGCTTGACAAAGCCATGAGCCAAACATATAACTCAGAGTACGTGTTCGTATCAAAAATATTACTCAAATAACAGTTCCAAATAATACCCAGGAGGTAAACCGACTTCATTTTCGTGAAAAATTCTAAATAAAATTAGCTCCATCATAATTCCGATTGAATTGAATACGCTACAAGCCTAAGAGATAATAATTCAATAACAACAAACAAGAGGGAAAACGGAATCCTAAAATTTAATTCAAATTATCATTTCAATATTTTAATTAAAAGTGGGAAAATTTTCACCTGACGAAGAAAATTCACAGGGATGTCAATTATCGGTGTCTTCCTTCTGAAAACTCTGGCGCCTGGGGCTTTTATTCTCTTTGGACGAAAACTGAATTGTTGTCCGGTCTGCGGAGACCAGGAAAAAGAAGAGTCGCCAGTAGCAAATGAAATTTTAATAATATTATTTACCATTTTGCCACCCTAACAACGATATATATACACACACACACCCCCCGTACAGTCCTAAAAATTATTACTGTTGTATCCCTGATTCTACCCTATAAATACATGACTTTGGTTTTTAATAAAACACATATAAACCTATTGATTTTTCTCTATTCGCTTTTCTTTTCTTCGCTTTTATAACACATTATCAGCACGATAGCTTAATTTTTTAAAATTTAGTGAATGTAATAACTTTTATAGGCATGAATATTTATCACGTGTACCAAAATTAATTTGGTAGCATGTGAAATATTTCAATATACACATGCATCATAACGATGTTGCTTATTTTTCTCTACTTTTCATTGACATACATATTAATTCTAATTCACGTTTGTATGTGTAATCTGAACACATATTAATCCACTTTTTTTATTCATACTGGATCATTTTTCCACATACTTTCAGTATTTATTCTGTTTTTTGAATCTGTTACATATTAGTTATATCTTTAATTTTTATATATGTGAAATTTATATGCATGTTTAGTATCTTTTGCATGTTGATAAAAGATTTGAGGCATAAATAATTTAGCCAATTTTGTTAACTTCTATGTATGAAATTTCTTTTTTTAATGTATGTTTGATAATTAATTTTTCTATATAAATTCATATCATGTTTATATGGTAATTAAATATTTTTAAATATTATTCTATGAACTTTAAATTAAGAATCTATCATCTTGTTGTTTCAAAAGTAGCACAACATTGTAATTAATATTTCAGAATAAAATTAATTCTATATCTATATATTATAAATAATTCGTTATTGCTCCTAAAGTAGCATAACATTATTAATATTTTAGAAAAATATTAGTTGCCTATAAAGAGCAAGATATTGCAAGTTCAATATTTCAAAGGAATATTGACTCATTGCTTTTGAAGAAACATAATTTAAATTATAGTTATTTTAAACGAACATAATGTTTATGTTATCGAAGAAACGCAACGCACATTATATAAATATTTAATATGAATATTTCATTGTTACTCATATAAGGCATACATTTTATTATTTAGCTCGAAAGGTAAAATGAATTGTTAATGTCAATATTCCAGAAGAATATTGCATTTATGCTCTTGAAAATTATGTCTTGTTGTGTTCCGAAAGAAAGCACATTTCTGGTCAGATTTTATTGTTCTTAAAGAGTATAATGATATAAAATATAACATAAAATTATGTTTTTATTCTTGAAGAGTAAATCCTTACATAATTCTTATCGTAAACAATAATGTATTATTGCTCCTGAAGAGCATGACATTAAAATTTTCCTTATTTCAAAAGAATATTGATTTATTGTTCTTGAAAAAATAATAGTAAAATATATTGTGATCTCAAAGTAGCACATTATAATTTTCATTAATATTCTAGTTAGATATTACTTGCTCTCAAAAAGTATAATTACATATAATCTAACGTAAATTATATTTTTACACTCGAAGAGTAAATTATTGTATAATTTATTATAATAATATTTGATTACTCGCGAAGAGCTTGAATTATAATTTTCAGTATTTTAGAAGAATGTTGATACATTGCTTTTGAATGAGCAATAATAATAATAAAATATATAACATGCTTTTAAAGCGGCACATGTTTTAAAAATATATTATTTTAAATTCATATTTATCCCTGAAAGAAAACATATAACCAATGTCGTTAGAACATTGATTAGTTTGACCACTTGAATGATATATGATTATATAATATTTAATCATATTTTTCGAGATTAAATAATTGAATTATATATTATATTGAATCAGAAGTTCAATTTGATTTTATTATTTGGCATGATCAATTGGACCATTATTAGATCAATAATGATACGAAATTAAATATTTTTAATAGATATTAAATGAAGAATCAGAAAATTTTTCAATCCAATGAATTCCTATATATTATTTGTTCTCTTTATTGATAATTGATCATTAAACATCGCTAGCTAAAATAGGGATTGAATTCCCTATATTTCTAAAAATAATTAGGATGATATATAGGTCCCGTCACTTACCATGTTAACCATCTAAATATTATTTGTATCTAATAGATTTGACACAAATATTAGATGATTGCATGATATTCGCAACCTGAAATTTTACAAAATTATTATTCAAGTTATGAGCATAATTTTTAGATTATATAATCAAGACTATGTCTTGTTAATGCTAATGGTTTGTTAATGCTAATGGGCATATATATCAATATTTTAATAAGTGTTAATTGAGATGTCGATAAATGGTTTAATACTACTTTTGTTAAATGCCTCCAATTAATTTAATTGAGAATAAATTATTTCCCATTTTTATTTAGGAAATTCTATTACGCATCATACCAAAATCACAGTTCTCCCTATTATATTAAGCTTATGGTCAGATTCTAATTTTTTCATCTAATTATTTTTTATGGTGTAGTATACGTAAAAATTGAATATCATAATACACTGTGATGGAAAATAAAGAATGCTGAGAATAAGTACATAGTTTGAACTATTAGTTCAAATGGGCAATATTTTATAATATTGAAAAATATGATTGTCAATTTGATTGGACAATTCTCTTAGCACTAGGGGAAGAATTAAGAAGTTAAAAATAATGTATAAATACATCATCATCTAAATCCTCGTTAAATATTATTTGAACCAGAAGTTTGAAAGATAATTTATTTAGATGTATTTATTGATCAAAGAGATCAACAATATCTCACGTACCAATTTTTGATACTCCAATATGAATTGACGTCTTAGGGGACAATTTGTTAGCATTATATTTGATATATCTATGGCACGCCTGAAGCGTGACAGTGTTCGATTCTAATACAAAATCTTTAAATGAAAATTGAGTAATTAGCAAAGATGGTTTCATTAAGGAGACATATACTCTTAATGAGTATTTAGACATAACAAATTATAAAATCCTAAAAGAGGTTCAGGTACCTGATATGTTGAAAATTGAGATATCTAAGTAAATTATGTTACTATGGGAAAAGAAATATAATTGAACGAGAAAAGAAAAAGTTGTCAACAAAAATTTTGTACATGATATACAATATCATATGTGAATGGCGAGGAATCGAAATAAATGCGTCGAAATATATCGATCGAAATAATGTTTGGCCAAATAAAAGGAGACGTAATCTTAAATTGAATTTACTAGATAAACAAAAAATTTTTGGACCTATAGTTCAAAAATCAAAAGGAATATACTTATACGAAAAAGAAATGAGAAAAATGAAGTTGTACTATGTAATGCACGACTCTCAACATAGTGAATTTCGCAAAGATCGTCATGGATGAAATTACGAGTTCATATCATATTATCTTGACGATACATGAAATTTGAAATACGTGATAGTGAACTGATCTGGCATGATTATTAATGTTTTTTTTGAAAGATTTAATATGCTTGAAGCATAACTCAAATGGTACATCTCGAGAAATTGTTGATTATTTGAAAAATTGCTGATTATTTGAAAAATGAATTTGAAATGAAGGATTTGGGAAAAATAAAATTTTGTCTCGAATTGCAGATTGAATATTTTGCAGATGGATTATTTGTTCACTAATCTACGTATACAGAAAAAGTTTTAAAATGTTTTTATATAGATAATGCACATCCATTGGCATCACCATAGTTGTTTGATCATTTGATGTAAAAAATGATCAATTTCGTCCACTTGAAGATGGAGAAAATGTTCTTGGTCCTAAAATACTATACCTTAGTTCAATTTTGGAGCATTAACTTAAATTGTAAATTGCACTCGACTTAACATAACTTTTTTTATAAGTTTCTTTACAAGATATAGTTTTACACCAACTCAAAAATATTGGAATGTTGTTAAATATATTTTTCATTACCTAAAAGGTACTATTGATTTGAGATTATTTTATTCTCAAAAGTCAGGATCCGCTTTAGTGGGATATACATATGCATGTTTTCTCTCTGATCCACATAAAGTTAAATCACAAACAGGATGTGTTTACACGTGAAGAAACTGTTATATCATGGAGATTCGTGAAGCAATCATTGACAACATCCTCAAATCATTATAAAATTATTGCAATACATGAAGCAAGCTAATAATATATATGGTTGAGGACATGACTCATCATATCCAAGCATCATGCAGGTTAATGCCAACGAAGGATAGCTAACAATTTTGTATGAAGACAAAACAACCTTTATTGCATAATTCAAAGGGGGCTATATCAAAAGTGATAGGACGAAGCATATTTCTCCAAAATTCTATTATACACATGAGTTTCAGAAGAATGATGACATTGATATCCAACAAATTCTCTCAAGTGACAATGTGACCGATTTATTCACAAAAACACTGTCAACATTTACATTCGAGAAATTAGTTCATGATATTGGAATGCGTTGACTCAAATATTTTTAATGATCAACATCAGGGGTAGTAGTTGTACCCTTTTTCCTTCGCTTAGATTTTGTCTCACTGAATTTTCCTAGCAAGGTTTTAATGAGACAGCATTTATTTTTTGTACTCCAAAATAATTGAACTATTTTTTCTTCGTTTGATTTTTTTCTCATTGGATTTTTATCAAATAAGGTTTTAACGAGACATATATTTGATAATGTGTCATTCAAGGAGAATATTGTAAAAGGTAAGTTTATTAGGGTTTATAAGTGAATGACAATTATACCCCTGCAACCCTAGAAATTATTACTGTTGTATCCCTAATTCTGTCTTATAAATACAGAGTTTTGGTTCTTAATAAAATACACACAAGTCTATTGATTTCTCTCTGTTCTCTTTTCTTTTCTTCACTTATATATATATATATATTTTTTTTTCTTTTTTCCGAAAACCATTTTTAGATGCAGTAATTTCCAGAGAAGAAACAGATAACAAAATTGGACTTTTCGTCATTATCTTTTTCGTATACATCAAATAAATAAAAGTGATGCTATTTATATAT